GCACCAAGAATATGCTCCCGGGCTTATCCTGGAGCCTAACATCTCAGCGGCCTCCATCCCATGGGCCAGCAGACACCCTGGTCTCTCCCCTGCCTCCCGGGACTCGGTGAGCCTGCCCCAGCCCTCCTGGGAGGCTCGCCCCCCGCCTCCTTCCGAGCGCGGGATTCCTGTCCTGCTGCTGGACGACTCCAGGGAGGAGGAGGAAGAGGAGAGCGGCAAGGAGGAGGTAGGGGCACCAGCCTGGGATGTACCCTGCGATTACCACCCCTGCAGGCACCTCCAGACACCGTGCGCAGAGCTCCAGCGGCACTGGCGGTGCCGATGCCCCGGCCTCAGCGGAGAAGACACCCTGCCAGACCCTCCCAAGCTGCAGGCGGTGGCAGAGACCACCGACACGTCGGCACTCGTGCGCTGGTGCGCCCCCAACTCAGTGGTGCGCGCCTACCAAATCCGCTACGCGCCGGAGGGCTGGCCAGGGAACCAGTCGGTGGTGGGGGACGTGTGTGCCACCGCGCGCCAGCACGCCCTGCACGGGCTGTCCCCGGCCACCGCCTACCGGGTGTGCGTCCTGGCGGCCAATGGCGCGGGGCTGAGCCAGCGCGCGGCGTGCGCCGCCTTCACCACCGGGCGCAGCCCCGGGCTCGTCGCCGCGGGGCTGGGCTCCGCGGGCGGCCTGCTGCTAGTCAGTACAGCGCTGCTGGCCACCGGCCTCTGCCGCCGGGGCCGGACGCCACGCACCCCGCCCTGCCACGCGCAGCTGCTGGCCTACCGCAACCCCGCCTTCGTCCCTGTGCCCGCGACCCCGCTCTCACAGGCAGGTGTAGACTGAGAACCCACCATCAGTGCGGAGAAGGCGGTCCTGGGGTCTAGAAAGACCCGTCTGCCTACTGCTTCTTCGAGGCTTGCGCTCCTTGGGCACATGTGGCCCTGGCCGAGCTGGGATCCTCAGCCCCTGGAGCCTCTGCCTTCCCTTCTTGCTGCTTCTCTCTGTTCCCAGAAAAGTTAAGGGTCACCTTGCCGGGCACCCTTTGGTTTTTCCGAAGCAGGTGCCCCTCAGCATCCAGTAGAATAGAATTGTGTCAGCCGCTATTGTCCTGTTGGAAGCGACATCTTCAAGTCATTTCAGTAAAGTTCCCTCAAGGTCCAGCTCTGGCTAAGTCTCTCTGGCTAGGAGATCGACTCCAGCGGATTCTCTCCCCGGCTCCCTGTTTCACACACCCTGAGTCCCCCCCACCCCCCGCCCCAACAATACTCCCCCTCCCCCTGGACCCCTGCCAGTGGATTCTTAACCTGAGAACGAGTTATGCTCCCTGAAGCCTTCTGTTCATTTCAGGGTATGGCAGCAAATGTACTTCTAGCTTTAAACTGCAGTCTTCCCAGAACATCTGTGAAACACAGGCAGGGGATAGGCTGTCCTTTCAAACTCACTTAATGCATTTCACTTAAGACCAGATGGGTAAAGGAACCGTGAACTGCTTTTTGAAGGAAGCATAATAATTGATGAGCTCACGTTCAAGAACTTTTCTGAAAGAAATGAACAAAAGGAAACCCTCAAGGCTCTAGTTAAACGCCAAAGCACTTCTCTGCTCAAATTGCATCAAACTTTCTCTTATTTTACTTCTATACAAACTTAGGAAGGAAAGTGATTTTATTAAATTAAAATGGGGTCATATTTCTAGATTTTAGTTTTCTACATTATCATTTATGTAAGTTCTGTGGCAGCCGTAACAGAGTACCACGAACTTGGTTGCTTCAAACAACTTAAGTTTATTCTCTTACAGATTAGGCTAGAAGTCCACAATCAAGGTATCAACAAGGTTGGTTCCTTCTAGAGACTAAGGGAAAACTGTTCCATTCCCCACCTCCGCCCTGGGAGGGGGTAGGGAGGGGTGGAAGGGAGCCAGCAATCCTTGGGTTCCTGGGCTTGCAGGTTCCTTATCCATGCCTCCTTGTCTTCTGACAGTCTCTAAATCCTACCCCCCGCCCCGCCCTTTTTGCCATTATCTTTTCTCCAGTCTTGAGATATAACGGATGTATAACATTAAGGTGTACCATGCAATGATTTGAGACTCCTATATATTGAGAGAGAATGACAATGAGGTTAGTGACTACATCTGCCACTTCATACAGTTATCTTTGTGTACATGCACGATAAGAACTTTTAAAATCTTAGCTACTTTCCAATATACAGTATCATTAAATGTAGTCATCAGACTTTCTTGTACTGTTTGACCACCTTCACCCATTCCTCATCCCACCTCCCACCTCTAGGAACCAACAATCTAACTCTTGAATTGGTTTTGTAAGATTTCACATATGAGATCATGCTGAATTTGCCTTTGTCTTATTTCAGTTGATATAATGGCCTCAGGATCTATTCATTTTGTTCCAAATTGCAGGACTTCCCTCTTTTTATGGTTGAATAATGTTCCATTATATATATATATATTTTTTTCTTTAGCCACTCATCCATTGACATTTAGGTTATTTCCATGTCTTGATTACTGTAAATAACACTACAGTGAACATGGGGAGTGAAGATATCTTGAGATAATGATCTTATTTCCTTTGGATATGTACCCAGGAGTCAAATTTCCCTCTTCTTGTAAGAACACCAGACACTGGCTTAAGGCCTGCCCAAATACAGTACGACCATCCTAATTTTGATTACATCTGCAAAGACTCTATACCCAAATAAAGTAACTTCCACAGGTACTGGGGGTTAGAACCTGAAAAATATCTTTCTGAGGAACAGTTCAACCCAAAACAGCATTTACTTCTAAGAAAAAAAAATTAGATTTGATTCTCATGGTATCTTTTGTTTCTACAACATGCTGCAGCACAGAAACCATGCTGCAGAAACTAAGCCTATCCAAGTTTGATCTGGATGATGGGACTATGCTACATATTTCTAGATGTTTGAAGTTTGGAAAAAGCTTCCCAAAATTCTAAGGTGGATCCCTAGTTTTATCACATATAACCAAGAAAAATGGACTGATTTAAAAGATCTACCAGCTCCAAATTTAAAGCTGTAAGGCAAAAGCCCAAATGTGACTACTATAAAAGCCCTCAGGCATGTAATTAAATTATCCCAGTGCCTTTTTAAGTTTAATATCAAGATTGAATCTGTTATATAGAGGCACCAAAATGAATGTCATGCTTGGAGTCTGTATGCATGACTCAAATATACCTAATACAATTCCAATGTTTTTTAAACCAGCAGAATTTGTTTTATGGCAAAAACCTACAGGTTGGGGAGGGGGGAAGTATATTATTAACAAGAATCAGATTAACACTTGACTACTAAAGAGACTATGGATCCAACTATAAGTCACTCCATATAGTACCAACGCTAGACCACAAGTGAGCCTAACGAAACAGAAAATTCTAATTTTCCCCCAACTTTATTTCAAGTTCTCCCTTTTAAAAAAATTTTCATGTGCTCATACTTTGCTAGTACTGAGACATGTTCAATGTGCCTCTTGGGTAGTCCAACAATGTGACTTTCACCTCTCACTGCGACCCAGGCCATTATGAGACATTAAAGGAGGTTCCAGAAGGGGAAAATGACTAGCTTCACACAGCCCTTCTCTCACCCACTTCCACCGGAGTCCATAGCAGTGACCCTGGCTGCAGGATTCAGTACTTCTCAAGCCAGGGGTGACTCAGTAGCTAATTTGGGAACAAGGAAGCCAGGGCCAGCAGGCAACAAAGGACACACTGGTCCAAGCATGCCACAACTGACAGGCATGGATTTTGCTTATAACTCCTTATAATTTTTAACACAGCTTAACAGGCTACATTTAGATAACCTCACAGTAAGAGGCTATGTTACACTTGGGTTAGAACCTGGGAGAATGAGCAAAAACAGGCCTCCAGTCTGAAGAGGAAGCAGCCAGCACCAGCCACATGTCTTCCTCTCCTTGTACTTTCCATTCTCTTAACATGATAGTGTAGTAAGAAAAGGACTTTTAAGTCAGATGATCCTAAATCAATTATTTTTACAATGTAAGTGCAAGTGACACAGCTAAATGGACTTTATGAATCATAAAAGTTCCACAACAGCAGATGACCACAGGATGCTATACAACAACCCAAGTTGAAGGTCATTTTTTCCCAGCTTTTATTCCTTTAACATCTTAACAAAAGGACATTCCTCAAGTTTAAAAAAAAAAAAACTTTGAAAAATATACAGTTTCATATTATTTACATAACATACAAGTACAGGTCCGAGTATCATACAAACGTGTTAGATGTAGTGGGAAGGTACGCTCTAACTCACTGCCTCCTGAATGGCTGGGGTGACAGACATGTTTGCATTTTCCAACTACCTTTATCCCTTCTTATCCTGATGCAAGGCACCTGAGAGGTTGGAAGACTTCTGAATGTGAACTTCAATAGCTTCTATTTTGATCTTAATTGATTTCAAAACTGACTACATTTTAAATCTCTTTACAAGTTTACTTTATCCAAAACTAAGCTACCTTTATAGTCATCCTAAATAATCAAATATCACATGTACTGTTAATATGTACACAGATCTAAAGTCAAACATACAATTGTGCAGCTAAGTTATACAGGATTTTATATTTAACCCCAGGACACTCCCTAGTGCTCTGTGAGGAATCCAAATTTATTAAAGTGCCAACTCTTCAGTTTCCATGCTCTCAACTGGCTTTTTGAATGTATTTTTAAAAATGGCTTAAAAAAAAAGACTGACAATAATTAGAATAATTGCTACTTACAAATTAATCAAGAAACCTAAGATAAAAAAATCCTAAATTATAATTTTATTTGTATTTAAAAATATGTTGGAAATTCTGCATATGCCCATGATCAAGCTTATTGTCAATGCACATTACTTAAAATTTTGATGACATGGTTTGTTCTGACAAGTCCTCCTTCAAGCAACACCAAAATAAGGGAACTCCTGTAGACTTCCACTGGCCCTGCCATTGTTGATGTGTACTGCTTCCTTGTTAATGATAATGGATGACTTTTCATCTGCCTTTTATCACCTGGACAGTTTTCCGGCCATAATGATAATAACTGTAAGCTGATGCGGCTGTGGTAAAAGCTGTAAAACACCTTTTATGGAAGAAAAGAAAATTTAGTTTAAATGGTAACTATAAATATACATAAAGAATACACATAATATATAATAAAGAATACATTTTAAAGAGTTGTTTAAAAGTAAAAAAGGCTGTTAGTGTAATTTTTTTTAACAAGAATCTAAATATATCGCTTTTCTGTAAGACTTCATTTGAATCAATAATGTCAAACAGAATTAATCTAGTTAACAAATCTGAAAAAAATAGCAATTGTCATTTTTACCCAGACATTATTCTATGATAGGTAATTTTATTTTCACAGCCTCACCTTACTGAGGAAACACTGCCCCAGAGAGCTTGCTCAGGGCCACAGAACTATGAGTCTGGCCTGGTTCCAACTCTAGAGCCCTTGTGCTCCTCCCACTGTTCCATGCTGCTTAGAGTATTAGTATTAGAAGCTATTTCTTGCAGATTTGGGGAATTCTAATAATCTGAGTCATTTTAAATACAATTCAGCTTTCTTTACTTAATCAGATTCTCTTTGAAATGACATGTGTGATGCTCAGGGCTCGCTGACTGTATGCAGCTAACAGGTTCATTTTTGTGCACACATGAGCTTCTGCTTCTGTCAGGTGAGGTGCAGGCTCATCCAGACCATTTTTATTTGACCCCAAACCTATTTATGCTAGCTTAATATCCTAAATTCACACATAAATTTAATGAAATATCCATGTGGGAAGAATTGCTATTTCTGAGAATTAAGCTAGAACCTTGGAAAGGCAAGACAATCTGCTAAACACTACTGTTGAAGTAAGTAGACAATATGGGCTTCCCTGGTAGCTCAGTGTAAAGAATCTGCCTACCAATGCAAGAGACACAGGTTTGATCCCTGAGTCGGGAAGATCCCCTGGCGAAGGAAATGGCAACCCACTCTAGTACTCTTGCCTGGGAAATCCCATGGATAGAAGGAACCTAGCAGACTACTACAGTCCACAGGGTGGCAAAGGAGTTCAATGCAACTTAGTGACTAAACAACAAGTAGACAATATAATTGCTAAAATACTGGAGAAAATAATAAAAATCTACCAAGTGTCTATACTCTGCTTCATAAATGTCTTACATTCTTATATCATTTTAAAAAAAAAGAGAATGAAAATCAGAGTTTGTATTATGGATGCAGTTTTTTTCAAGAAAGAAAAAATATCCTACTGATGAGCCTATAATCAAAGAAAATAAGTTGGGCTTATACCAGAAGATATAGGACAAATGAGTATACAATTCATATTTTAGGAAATAAAATGTTCAGCACGTGTATCATTTTTAAAGATTCTTAGCTGACTTTAGTTAACCATTTTCTGGCTCAGACTGCATCAAGCAATGCTTTAATTATCAAGTTAAAAATATAGTAAAATATAGAGCTTTAGTATTGGTGTGATGTATATGGGCTCAAAGTATGAACCTGACACATTTTCAAGGCTACACATAATCTTAACAAAATAAAATTCAAACTCCTTTCTCCAAGTTGCTTCCCCACTCTGCCTCCTTCATTAGGCTGGGTGCACCTCCTTTTACCCACTCTCCTATACATCTGAGTTTGCTCAAGGTCTGTCCTTCACCAGAAAGGCTTCTCCTCAGTCTCTCTCCATCTAGACTTCATGGCTCAAATGCCACTCCTCCCTGAAGCTTTTCCTCTTCTTCCTACTTGGAATATTTTTCTCTCCTCCAAAACCCCAACACAATATCTCTCATCCCTATAACTTGCATGAAAGCCCCTATAACTTCTACATCCTATAATTGATAGTAAGCTTCTTAAAAATGGTATCAATCAAAAAATATAGCCCCTATAGCTTTACCCAATGTTTAATAAACATGATTAAGGACAATGTAATTCTAGGACTGTCACAATAAGCCATTTTGTTGCCGTCCTCAGAGTAATTCTAAGTTAAACTTACCACAGGATCTGAAGGTAAATGCTGTCAGCATAATTGAAAACTGGAGCTGCCAAAGAAGCTGCCACCAAGATTAACTGAACTGCTGTGTTTACCTTTAAAAAGAAAAGTCACAAATGAACAGTGTGAACCCAGTCATGTTTCAAGCTCAGGAGAGAAAGGCATAACCCATCACAGTATAACACAACAGACTCTCAGCATGCCTAATGTTGTAACATCTCTGCTAAAAAAGCTGGCATTCACACAAAAGGCTGAACTTCACTAACTGGCTCATCTGTCTGCACAGCTGCCCTTGTGGGGAAGGTGAGGAAGGGCAACTATCAGAAAACACCATTATCTTGAATTTCCATAGCAATTCAGTAATATTGCAAAGTTCTTTGCCTTTTTCTCAGCTACCCATTAAAACAGACCTGTGAATATGGAAACAGTGAGGCTACTCTTCACAGGTGAAAAGGTAATGAGTTAAGTGACTTGTCCACAGTCTAGCAGGTTACAGATCCAAACTGAGAACCCAGATTTCCTGGCACTTCATTTAATGCTCCTTTCACTAGCATTAGGTTAGATATGCAAGTTAGAAAGTTGAAATGCATTCATCTCCATGAGAAAGGCTCTCAGGAGGAAATGAGTAGGTTTCCCTACCCTAAAAGACAGTATGGTGGAGAAAAGGAAGATGACAAAACCACTGGAGATTTTCTCTACTCATCTAGATAAGCATTCTGGGAAAGTAGTGATATGTTGAAGGAAGCACCAATGTTCTCTCATCCATTCTGCAGCCAGATTACAAGGATTCCACTCCATTTTTAAAAAGAAGTAATAAAAATTGTCTGAAGAACTTCTTGCAAGACCAAGGAGTTGAGGCATTTGTTCCTAGCACCTCTTTAAGCCACTTTCCATATACTCCATTTCCATATACTCCAATTACTATACTTGATACATATAAAAGTCACAGAAATAAATAGGTAAAAAAACAAATAACCAACCAACCAATCCATATTTGTAGGTAAAAATTAACCCCAGGGAGTCTCTGGTTTAAGAGTAATCATCCTTTTGTCCCAAAGATGATTGGCATTCCTAACCTTTTAAACCTCTGTCACAAGGGATGGAGCAAAATAATTAGAGCAAATTTATGTGCCGCAATAGGCATTAACAGTGTCCTCTCTGCACAAAGATAGCATGCAGGTATTGTCCTGAAAAGGGCTCAAGAAAACAGGTGGATAACTAAGAGCAGGAGTTGTTTATTAGTGAATAAAACTTTCTCCTACCCTTTCCATGTAATTGCATGGCTACTGCACCTGAAAGAGACCTTATTGTATGGTGTTTTCACTACAGGGAGGGGTGGGTAGTGAAAGCAGAAAGAAATCTTCATACTCTCTTTGTGTCACAATCAATATGCAATTATACTTCTACTTTGTCCACCTCCCCTAAGTGATGGCCCTAATACTTCATTCAGAGACTTAAATTCTTAGACCACCAGGCCACCAACACAAAACACACATGCATACTAGAGCTCCAGAGAGCCTGGAGGACAAAAGAACTGGGTTGAGGACTCCACTCTATCCACTAGGTCAATGCATTAAGATTTATCTTATTTTCAGCTGCTCCAGACTGAGGTTTATAGTCATTATAATAATCCACAAGGGAATAATAATGTAAAAGGATGTTGTGTGTCTCTTACCTTACTGATGAAGGTTGGTTTTAACCTAGCAGTGGCATAACAAGGATTGAAATACTTAGAAAGTGTTCGCTGGCAGAGGACAAAAAAAAAAGATAAACTTTACTCAATTTATTAAGTTTAAAATAAATATTTAGCTATTATTAACATATGTAACAGTTACTGAGTGTATACCACATGCCTGGCTATATGCTAGATCTATCATAAAGTCTGGCTGACGACATCTTTTTAACTAATCTCCCCCATCACTATTTTTCCTTTATAGGCTAAAAAATCAAAATGAATAAAATGTTGACATTTTCACTGGACTCGGAATCAAAAGATGAGGCTGTTATGCTCATGTAGTGATTATTAGCTAAGTTTGCGTAACTGCTCAAATATTTGTAGAACCAATGAACAAAAGTGCAAACAAATTACCCTATGCTCATAAAACTGTAATTTTTAAAAACCAGTTCTAGAGAATCCATAGTAGAAGCTAAGTTACACAGGAAAGGGTGCTTAGTCATACAAAACACTCTTAAGAAGGGACTACCCTGGTGGTCCAGTGGCTAAGACTCTGAGCTCCCAATGCAAGGGGTCGGGGTTCAATCCCTGGTCAGGGAACTAGATCCCACATGCCACAACTGAGCCCACAAGCTGCAATGAAGATTGAAGATCCTGCACACTACAACTAAGAAGCAGCACAACCAAATAAATATTAAAAAACAAAAACATTCCTAACAGAGTTTGCTGCTAGGGACAGGGCTAGTTGGCCTGAGTTTTATGGACTACCAACTAAAACAATTTTGACTTAAAATAAAAACATGCTTTTAAAAAATTATTCACGTTCACTGAATAGCTACTATAATGGTGATTCAAAAGCAAGATGATAGTCTGTTTTCTTTAAATTCCGAGTAAATGGATTAAATACATGATTGTCATAAATTATTCCCATAAAGTGAAAATCAGTACACAATAGTGTTTTTTTCCTTTTGCCTTAAGTTACAAATACTACTAAAAAACTTTTTTTTAAACAAACTCACCGGTGTTGGAAGAGTTCGATATCTGACATAAAAAACAGCAGCAATCAACATTACATCTCTTGAAATTATCATATAAGTAAGTGGAACTGAAAATCAAATATAAGATAATTTTGATTGGGATTTTGAAAATTATTTAGACATTACACATAACATAAAGCCTTACCATAAATTGGTGTTTCACCTAAGTAAATAAACATTTATTGATGCCTGTCTAGGGTCCTTACCATAAACCAGTAATTTTTATATTCTTCTTTTACCTGCCTTCAAAACAAGGCGAAAGACAGACTATGGCTTTCAAAAACACATTTCAGAATGTTGACCCTCACTTCTTTTAATTTTTTTCCTTGCCTATGTTTTTAAGTTGTAGTTATCAGTGTCAGCTCTACTCAGCCACCACTATTTCCTTGTTACTTCTCAGCTTTATAAGTTTGGGAAAAAGATAACCTCGCTATAATTGCATGGAATGAGATTGTAAAGATGTTGGAAAAGATGTCAGGACTCAAGCCATTCTGACTTTCAAGAACTGACTGCTTGCTTCTGTAGTCTAGATTATTTTATGAACAGCAAATTTTGCTATGTGTACCACTTGTGGAGAAACAATATCTTCCATTTTGCCTGGCCAGTTCCTATCCAAGCAATTTCCATTTTTCCTTCTGCTCATTCAGTCAATGAATCCTAACTAAACATGAACTCAACTTGTTGATAGTTTTCTCATTATTCCTAAGATCCTACAGGATGGCCCCACAGCCAGAAGGACATTTTAAATGGACACCCAAGGAACTCCTGCTCCCTTGTTCAGTGAGAATGGGAGGGCAGAGGTCTTGTTTCAATTAACATCCTTCCATATCTAAGGAAGTTTTAACCATTACTATAAATCACATTTTATTAGAAAGAAATATTCTTTAAAGGAAAAAATCTTAACACTCAATTCAAATTGTTTCAGCTACTAAAAGGATCATGCATAGCTCTTCCATAACACCTTCAAACAGCTCTTCTTGAATTACTTTTAAGGCTATCCTTATGATCTGCTCCAATTTCGACATTCTATTGGTTCAGCAACTTAAGAACAATCTCACTAATTAATTACAGACTTAAAATTTAAATCTCTGCTGGTTGTGGCTGTTATATATATATAAGTGTTGATCTATGGCATAGTACTTCATGACAAGATGATTCCAAAGAGAAAATGCTTATCCACTCAAATCACGGCATTTGGAGCATAAAAAAGACTCCACTGTATGAGCCAAATAACAAAACAATCCAGTAATGATTTTTAGCAGGATTTTTGTGCCTGTAAACCCAACTTTTCTATACAGCAATAATCAGCTGCAAAATCAAATAACAATCAGAGTTTAAAATGGAGCAACTCATGCAAATTTTATATAGTAAATACAACATTACAGGAAAATAAACATCTGCTATTGCAGTTCATCACCACAGGTGGAAAAGAATATAAATAAGAGGTTTCTACAGAAGAACAGATGAGGTGATTCAATATACTGCAAAGCAGTGGGTTCTAGTTCTCTTAACTACCAAAATTACCACTTATTGAGCATCTGGCACAATTTAAGCATTATATACATATAATGTCATTTAATCTATGTATTATCACCATGAAATGTGAACCATCATTATCTCCATTTTACCAATAGGAAAACAAGCCTCAGGCAGATTATATATCCTGGCCAAGGTCACCAGTTAGTCAGTGGTACTGCAAAATGCATCTCTGGAATCAGTTCACCAACTGTCAATCTGTTTGATAGAGGAAAAGACTGTTTAAAAAAATCAGGTGTTTCCCAAACTAACTACTCATCACAGAATCACCTCATAAAAGTTTTGTATAAGCACAGATGAAAGCTCCCTGGTGGTTCACAATACAGCCAGACTGGGACCAGGGCTGCAAGGCCTCTGCCAACTGACAGCCTGTATACTGTACATACAGGCTCTTAACTTTCATTTGAGGGGCAACATTGTCCAGTTCCCTAGATTTTGAATCTTCTAACTGTTCCTGCCTTCTCTCTGTCTTCCCTTGCCTTTTCTTCCAGGGCTAAAGCAGCTTTCTTTCTGTCTATTAAGTACAACAGCGTGTGAGTGGAAGTGTAAAATGTGTCAGGGAATGCTCCAAGGTTTTCTTCTATAATTGCTAATTCTGTCTGAAATATAGTTTCTGCAACAAGGAAGTATATCATGGGCAAATTTTATTAGTGTTAAAGGGGAAGTAATAAAATAAGTCACTTTTACACACAAAGTGATCACTATCAATAGCATACACTGTTGCATTGAAAATTTAACACACAGCCACACTCATTTGTTTATGCATTTTCTATGGCTATTTTCACACTACAATAACAGGCTTGAGCAGCTGCAACAAAGACCACATGACCCACAAAATTGGAAATATTTATTTACTATCTGGCCTTGACTGAAATAGTCTGCCAACATTTGTTCTACATCCCAACCTCTAAATCAGGACCTCCACAACCTCTAAGGAGCAGATAGAGAGCTCCTATCTACAGAACAGACTTACAAGTACTGCAAATTCAGGGCCATGTCTGTTCCTTCCTTGTCTGTTCACCCTAGAGGGAATGATACCACTCCGTGAATTCCACCAATGCTCAGAGCACCCAGTTAACATTTTACAAAGTGAGTAGCCAAGGATCACTAGGCATTTTAACAAAGTCTCCATCATGAAAGAAAGACCAAAACAAACAGGAAAAAAGAAAAAGTACACACACACACACACACACACACAAACAGAAGATATCCTGAAATGATGATATTCACCTATGATGTAAGAAAAAGACTTTAAAAAAAAAAAAAAAGAACACATAGAACAAGAGCACTTGGAAATTAAAAATGACAGCAATAAAAATGTCAATAAAGGGATAAATGACAAAGTTGAGGAAATCTCTCAGAAAGAGAACAAAAGAGAGTTTCCAATAAGAAGAGAATCTAGAAAGAAATGTTTAGAACTTAAAGATAAGTTTTCAGACTGAAGGGGCCTTCTCATTACCCAGCACAATGGAAACAGACTCTAGAACATAAACTCTTGTAAACTCTCAGGCCAACAAGGTTAAAAAAAAGATCCTCAGGTTCAGCTTCCGTTAATATCTGAGTAGGTAATAATTCTCCTGCTAACACAATTAAAGACCATTAAAAAAAAAACAAAACTTGAAAGTGAAAAGCTTATAAGATGCTAAGAAGGTATCAGAATGAGAACTTGGGAAAATAAGCCTAGGCACTCAGAGCCACTGTCCGTGACCCTAGAGAAATAAGCAACAAAGCTGAATAAAACAAAGGGGTTTTGGCAGCCTTATGGGACGGCAGAGCCACAGTCAAAGCCCAGAGTCCTCAGGTTCGGCAGTGACAAACCACTTCCTAGCTTTAAGCTAGGATCTGAACAAATATTTCCACAGGGTTGACAGAGGAGTTGGCCCTAAGTAAACTAAACCTTAGAAGAATGTTATATCTGGCCATCTAGCTAGTCTCAGACTATTAGCATTCCTAGATACCTGGCAGAACTGAACAAAAAATCTCTTCCAGAGAATGATGCCATCATCCTATACATCAAAATATTTCTCCAAATTATTTTAAAATATTAATAGTGTCTAAACATTAAAACACACCAAAGACATAAGATACCATGAGTAAAAATCAATAGAAACAAACACATGAAAGAGACCCTCAAAAGATATTTCAGAAATATCAGTGCTTATAAAACTAAAGCTTACTATGTTCAGAGGACTATATATATATAACAATTAAAGGGATATACATGAAAATTTCAGCAGGAAACTGAAAACTATAAAGATGATTTGCTAAGTTTGAAAAATAGAAATTCTATAACAAAAAAATACAATAGAAGATTTAAATGAATTTGGCTCAGCTGAAGAGAGAAGCAGTGAAATGAAAGAGTGTGCTTCAGCTTCATTAGTCATCACCTAGAACGGAGTTCAGAAAGATAAAATTAGTAAGTAACATGCAGAAAAGAGGCTAAGACACTTAAAGGATACAGTGAGATTTAACACAGATATATTGTAGTCCCAAAAGGAGAAAAACAGGCAACAATACCTGAAGATTGTGGCTTAGAATTTTTTATAACTGATTAAAGATATCAATCTATATATTAAAAAGCCCAACAAATCACAAGCAGGATAAATAAAAAAGAAAAATCACACCAAATACTATGAAACTATGGAAAACCAAAGAGAAAGAAGAAATCTTTAAAGCAGCCAGAGTAAAAGAATACCTTAGAAAATGAAATGAGTTAACAGTTGATTTCTTATTGCCAACAACAGAAATGAGTAGACAATTGCATGGTATTCTTGTGGGGAAAGTAAGATCCTACATGCCATGGAGCAACTAAGCCCAGATGCCACTACTGAGCCCATACGCCAGAACCAGAGAGTCCATGTGCTGCAACATAAGATCCCGCATGACGCAACTAACGTGACACAACCAAATAAATAAACATTCAAACTTTATAAAGGCAAAAGTAGAACAGAACATACAGGTCAAATAAAACACAAAGTAAAATGGAAGACTGCTACACAAATATCAGTAATCATAGTAAATGGATTAAATGTTCTAGTTGAGAGAGAAAGTATTTTTAGACTGGCTACATTAAAAACCTATTATATGTTATTTACAAGCAATACCTAAAATAGATGTAGACAAGTTGAAAGTGAAAGATTTATTTATCATGCAAACACTGGCCAGAGATAAGCTAGTGTCGATAAAGTAATATTAAAAAAAAAACAGACAAAAGCAAAAATCATTTCTAAAGATACAGAGGTCACTTCAAAATAAAATATTCAATTCACCAAGAAGACATAACAATTTTACTTTACATGTACTTAACAGCATAACTTCCAAGAGACACAAAGCAAAAACCAGAGCGAAAAAGAAAAAGTAATGGAAAACTGGACACAGCAGGAAACTTCACTCTCTCAGTAACTGACAGAAAAGCAGACTAAATGTAAAAAATAAGTCAGTAAAAAAACAAAAGTAAAAAAAAAATGAAATAAAAGTACATAAAAGTAATTTATTAGGACTAAAAATTTGACAAAATGGACACACATAGACC